ACGTCATTCTAAATCGAATATGGCGAACCATCCAAGATGGCGGAATGGTCATTTTCAATCTACTTCTATAATATGGGTATCGAATGAAAGGGCTCGTTGAGAGTAATTCGAAAAATAATGTGATGTTATTCTAAATCCAATATGGCGGACCATCCAAGATGGCGGAATAGCTATTTTTAATATATTTCTACAATATGGGTATCAAATGAAAAGGCTCGTTGAGAGTAACTCGAAAAATGATGTGACGTCATTCTAAATCCATTATGGCGGACCATCCAAGATGGCGGAATGGTCATTTTCAATATACTTCTACAATATGGGTATCAAATGAAAAGACTTGTTGAGAGTAAATCGAAAAATCCAGCTAGCGATAACTAAAAATCAAAAAATAAATTGAATGTTAAAAAAAAACTTTTAAATAAAAAGCTTTTATTCAAACGCTGTAAAAAGAAGAAAATAAAATTTTTCTTGATAATTTTAACTATCAACTTATAAAACCTCATGATACACAATTTATATGATCATAAAAGCTTGTCGCGATGATCAATATTTAATCAAATTGTAATTTAAAAATTTTTATCTTTCCAGATTTTACATAATCAAATAAGTACTAGTTCATTCACACAAGTGATAACACTATTTTGTAATCTTACAAACTTCCTCTCGTTCATTGGTGTCAATTCAGGATACATTTGGTTGAATTTTCTGCAAGTTCTGGCGATGATTTGATCACATTGTCCGTGTATAATAAATAACTTCATAAGAACTTCGTTTGAATGATCGATATTCGCGTTCATTCGGGGTGATTTCTTAAAACACTATCAATAACAATTACTGAATTACTCATTAATGTCACCGAACTGTCATGAGTTTGATATTTCCATGGCTATCTAAAATTAACTTTTTCATAAAATTATATTTTTCACAAAAAGCGGCTTTATTAAGAAAACTTCAATTTATTGAGTAAAAAACAGTGGGTTCCATTTGAAAAAATGAACTTTTGACCACTTGTATGAACAACGGATATAATAATAATAATAATTCCAGCACGCCCTGTATGATATGGAGGCGACTTCTCGGTGTAAATTGAATACATCAAGCCTGTCCAAATCACCACTTGAATATCAACTCTTTATGATTCAAGAGCCCTGAAGTTTAATTAGGGATATGTTTTGGATCATATTTATCACAAATTATTTTTTATCTCGAAAACCGATAGAGATAGGTATAGGGATTTATTAACAAAAGAGTATTGTATATAAAAGGCAATTCTAAAAATGTGTTCATATACGGGGTGTTCCATTTAAAAAAATTAAGTTGCTAGGACTTTTCGATAGACACGGCAACGTCGCAATTTCGAAAATATTTTTGGTAGATAGAACAGGTGATATAATGTGAGATGCGAAATTTTCAGAAAAATCCTGCGTTGCGTTCTCCATAAACGTTCAAAGTACCATCGACCGTGAGTTACCCTGTATAAGAGTTTCTACAGGGTGTATCTAAATAACACCGGAAAAATTCATTTAAACATGTGTCCTAACTTGCTTCGTTTTCGAGATACAGGGTATTAATATTTCCATGAAAAATCTTTTTTCTATTCATTTCTCAATTGTATTTCATCAATTCCAATAAAACGTTGTGGTTTCGTTAATAGTAATATGGAGCTTCTTATAATGCAATTAGATTCTAAATAATATTTCCAGTGGCGTCACAGTGGGTAAATTTATCGATATTCATGGTGAATGTCATCGTACACCACCGGTTTTTCTGAGTTTCATATTTTTATTGGATTGAACTATTGAAATAACAACTTCTTTATCCCGTGTGTGATTTTTGTATCCTGCTTTGTTTTTGAGGAAACAATAAAAATTCGATTCGACTCAAAATTTTAATGTAGGCGTTTTCAAGACTTACATTGAGATTACCCAATGAATCCAATTAGAATCATTCTGAAATTTTGGGGCTTTCTCAGTCTCCATCCATACTGAATTTTGGCACCATGAAAGCTTATACAGGGGGGTTATAAATAAAAACAATTAATACTTCCAACTTCAACATCCCGTATCTCAAAAACGGAGCAAGTTAGGACACATGTTTATATGAACTTTATTTACTAGAATGTCACAAGGAAACTCCCCTTGAATTTTTTCGGTGTTATTTAGATAGACCCTGTATATATTGCGTTAACATTTCTATATATCGAAAGAATTATTATGAACCATAATCTAAACTCTACAAGCAAAAAATTCACAAATATACATAGGTAATTACAAAACTATCATTCAACAAAGGATGTGTGTACTGTGCACACCTACAATAATCGTTTCAGAGTATTTTTTAACATATCCAGCGATCCACCGAAGATTCCTAGATTACAATCATTAATCTTTTTATGACTACGGAAAATCACTGTCCTGAGAGCCGTAATTTCTAGCATGAAATTCAATTTGAAAGAGTTGCATATTGCGAAGTGTTCGCAAAGGAACATTAAAGTTGATTATTTGTAATAAATCCGGACATATAGTGTACCCATTTATGAGTTTAAAAATGAAACACAGATAATGTCATAATCATTTATTGGATATAAATTCAAACTAAATGCTTGATACCGCAAAAAATTATTTTGGACCGCTTCAATTCTGCCAATATGTATATTCTGGGGTGACCAGACAATGGATACATATTCTAGATCTGTTTCGCTAACTATGTTAGCATCTTCAGGAGAAGATTAAAACTTGAAAGTTACAGGGTGTCCCACGACGATTACGACAAGGAATATCTCGGACCATGAGCGTAGTAAGAAATTGAAATTTTGGGATTGAAAATTAAAGTAATTTGTACAGCTTTTTTCGATATTATGTTACCCCCAATCAGCTTTTCTTTTTTGGTCACCTGTATATTTTGGCATTTCTATGTTCCCCGCGATGAAACGACTTCAAACTCCAACAACCACACTTGTGGTCTAAAACGAATAATTTAACAACTACAGGTATTTCAATATCCTTTGTCCCTAAAGTTTTTTGACCACCATCTTTCGATAAAACATAAATAATTATTGTATTAACCATAAAAAAAAAATATAGGACCGCCCAAATATACAGGTTGACCCTAAACTTTAATAATTTGGTAAGTGATAGTAGGCAAACTAGGCGACGGCCTAAGGCGCTAGTATTATAGAGGGCGGCAATCGACGAAATCAGAACTGAGACAAAATTATTTACAACTTGTAAATCGCTCAACTTCACCAAAATGATTTGAGGTAAGAAAAATTAATCTCACCCACGCCATCGTTTTGCACGTCGAAAGTTAATCGAGATGGAACATTAATTTCACCAGATCTCTGGGATTCTCTCTCCGCCTAAGGGAAAACTCCAATCTATTGTCAGTGCCACTTTGTTCTACAAGATGTTTGAGGAAAAAAAAATATATCGAAAAAATATAACATTTTTACTTGCTTGGACGTTTCATGAACGAATCTGCTTCCGTTTTCAACATGAAAAATGGAAAATGTTTTTCTTGTTGAAATATCTTCTAATTTTATTGTTGACACTTCTCAGTGACAGATGTTGATGCAAACAAATGAGTTACATTTACCATTTTCATGTTCACATTTTAATAGTTATAATTTAGGTAAAAAATTGATATTTTTTCTATATATCTGTCTTTTTTTTTGAACTTCCAAGCTCATAAAGATCAGAGTTTTTACAAGTTTACTTACCCTATACATTTCAATACTGAACATATTGGTAAGTTATATTTTAATTTTTTTTATATCATAATACATCATATTATTCATCAGATTTGAGAGATTCTCAATTTCAAAGGATTTTGATTCTTCTCTTTTTGAATGTTCAACAGATATAAGTCAATGTTCGACGTGGCAAATAGCCAGGAAAATAGTTGTTTTCTGTTGAATAAACCGAGAGATAATTGATATTTTCATCACAGAGAATGCGAATTATTTATATGTGTATCAATTTCTATATGTTCATTATTCTTTTATTTATTTATTTATTTATTTATTTATTTATTTATTCATTCATTTATTTAGTTATTTATTTATTTATTTATCTATTTATTTATTTATTTATTTGTTTATTAACCATATCTATCTATTCTCAAGGGGATGCATAGAAATTGGAGTTTATTAAAACTGTTTTCTATAATATTGCGATAGACCCAAAACAACTTACTTTTCTAAGATTTCTACCGATTTCATCTGAGAATATTCCTGTTTTTATCTGTACTTTTCTTTCTCAGACATTTTTCAAATCAGGTGTCACTGGAAATCGATCGGATTTTTCTTTTAGGCTCACTATTAGCAAACTTTTTTGAACTCGGTGACATATTGGGGCGAATCACCTGATTTGTCGTTACCTACAGGTATATTGAAATAATACTCATATTTTGATATTGAAACGAGGAGAGAAAATCACAAGAATATGTAGTGGGTTGAAAAACTAATTTCAATTTTCGAAAATTACACACTTTGTACGAATTTTCTCGCAAGGGCGCCGTTTCAGTGTTTCGCCTAGGGGGTCAGAACTGCTCGGGCCGGCGCTAATTGTTAGTTTTAGACATTTGTCGTAATCGTCCTAAATTAATTGTTTTAGACCACAAGTGTGCTAGTTTGGTGGAATCGTTTCATCGAAAGGAACATAGAAATGCCAAAGTATACAGGTTGTACCATTCAAAATTTTGAACTGATGACACGTGGCTGAAATCAAAAGTCTCATTGGGTAACATGATATTAAAAGAAGCTGCTCCAATTGCTTAAATTGACAACACCAAAATTTCAATTTTCTACTACTATTGACTTCTGAGATATACCGTGTCTTAGTCGTCGTGGGACACCCTGTATATCTAATGATGAATTCATGTAAGACTTAACTTCTAACTGAAGAATTGGAGAGGGTGGTCGGGTGGATTCAGAATTATCTGAAATTAACCATTATTTTGAGTCAATTCACCAAAAAACTCATTCAAAGCTATCTTTTCAGTGATGCAGTTGTTAATCAAGTGTTAGATGAGTTGGGCCTTCAACTTGGAGATACTCTCTCTGGTCTACCCCAAACAGGAGGGACTTTGCCATCCAATGCTCAGAAGCAACCCATAGCACAACCTTCTGCTGCAGCAGCAGGTGGAAGTAATGGTGGCATGTCCGATGCTGATGCTGATCTTCAGGCTAGATTAGATAATCTGCGCAGAGAATAGCCACTGGTGGTACATAAATAATGTTCTATGAGGACAAGAAAACAACCCCCATAAACTTAGCAGAAACATTTCAGAATTTCGAATTGTCAACTAGGCCATAATTTCTCGCTTATTTATCGTTAATTTATTACCATAAGAAAAAAAATATCGGTCATCGTTAAAAAAAAATTATGTTTATATGAACTCGGCAGAACCATTCCCTATCTATTCACTTTTGAAAAAAACTGATGCTACTAAAATTTATCAATATTTTATCGCTAATTAATAATCACTTCTAAAAGTTATGGCTCTGCTGGGTTAATATGAAGCTAGTAGAACCACTCTGTAAGTATCTTTTTTTTTTATATCAATATTACCATAATTTATCGCTAATTGATTACCGACATATGACATTTGTTGTTCATCTTTTTTTCAATTACCTATCTCCGTAAAATCTATTAAACTGATAGGTAGTGTATGTTAGTTTCATAAACACAATGCGATATTTACATACAGGGTGTCCTGCTGGTTGATGCAAATCTGTTAGGAGTATACAGGAGATATAATTTATATAGAACCTATTCAGCTACACTCACCTTAGTACAGTTTTGCAGTTTTCGAAATATTTGCGCTATTCGCCATTTTGAGGTTATTTGAAAGAATCTTAAAACCCATGAAAAGAGTAGTTTTTATTGTTTTCTAACTTTATCAGTTGTGTTTCTAGATGAAGTTCTGATTTGGTGACCAATTTCTATGTATTCGCCATCAAATCAACACTAAATTGGTAAAACAATACATTGACACATTAAAACAGTTGATAATCGCAGCTGCAGCACCAAGCTTATATCCTTGGAGTTTCAAAAAGTCCTCCAATTTGGAAGACGTAAAAGTATTGGTTACCTTATTTTTTTGTAGACTTTATTTCAACATTTCTCCAAAATATCCCGAAAACTATGTTATATTTTGATATTATTGAGTAACTCAATCAATAGCACTCTATTAGTGGCGAATTAAGGTAGCTGGGGGCCCTAGGCGCAAGACAAATTTGGGACCCTTCCTTGAAAATGTGAGGTGTATAACAAGTAGCTATTATTTTCTGATCCAAGGAGTAATGAAATACTATATGATTATTATGGTTTCAATTCATATATCGCTATATCCAGTCCAGACTTGAGGTGGTAGACAATGGATTTTTGTGACAACACATATATACAGGGTGACATAGAAAAAAGAACATTGCATAGTGCCACACAATAGAGGATACTAAAATAAGAAAAAAAGTTCCTATGAACATGGGTCCGCAAGGCCTTCGGTTAAAAGATACGGGGTGTTGAATTTTAATATATTTTTTTTGTTTTCTTTGAATATCTTCAGCCAGAGACACAAGAAATGTATAAAATGTGGTATACAGGAGTTTTTATCATGCTCAATTCAAATATGATCTTAGTTTTGTGATGACTGATAGAGGGCGCTACATACAGGGTTCCATCCCTATTGAATCGGTCGTAACTTTTTTGCTATATACTGTATGTCATTTTCGACGGAAAAAAATTGTCATCCCTTCTTTTATACTAAAGACTGGTATACCTTGTCCAAGTCCCTAGAAGCAATGGTTCCAGTACAAATGCATCTAAAAGCCGACAATGCACGCAAATTATTCAAATAGCGCCAGAGTAACTTTTGCAAAAACAATGATAAATACTTCAACAATTACATTTTAATGGTATGATGAAAAATATGATTAATTTGAACCAAACATTACGTTTTTAGAAGATGTTCAAATTGTTGCCCTTGTACCTCAATACATTTTGCCATTAAAATTCAACACCCCGTATATTTTAACCGAAGGCATTGCGGATTCATGTTCATAGAAACTTTTTTTCTTATTTTTGTGCCCTCTATTGTGTGGCAATATTCAATGTACTTTTTTCTAAGTCATCCTGTATATATTTTTTGAAACAGCGACAAATTTCATAATCCAGCAATCAATTAGCGATAAATTAGCGACATATTATGGTAACATTTTTATAAAAAAAAATGAATAGATACAGAGTGGCTCTGCTCGGTTCATAATATGAAGTAAGCAGATAGAGAGATTTTTGTTTAAAAATGTATAAAAATAAGAGCCACACATTTTTTATCCCATCCCTTACTGATAAAATAGCGACATATTTTGGTAGCATCAGTTTTTCTCAAAAGAGGATAAATACCAAGTGGTTCTGCCAAGTTCATATAAACCTAGCAGAACCATGAAATTTTGTTGAAACGATGAGCGATACATTTTTTGTTATGGTAATAAATTAGCGATAAATAAGCGACAAATTATGGCATAGTTGAAAATTCAAAATTCCGAAATAGTTTTTCTAGGTTTATGGGGGTAAGAAAACCGTGTGTTCTCGTGAACTAATCATTCTGGTGTGATCCATCATGGTGACGTCAAGATACATTTATATAGATATATTTTCGGGTATGCAAAAGATGGAGATGGAAGGAAAAGAACTGGCCAGCAAAAAATATAGCCAAATTGTTAATTCTTGTCCGATGTTGATGACATTCCGACCAAATCGTCGATTTATGTATCAGAATGTTTAAGATTAAAGTGTGATTCCTTCTCACAATGGCTTATCATCAACGTCAATATCTTCTTTTTAAGGAAAGATACAAGTGTTTTTTAAATTTGCAGAACATACACGAACTTATTGATCAACAACTCGAAAAATCAGATACACATTGATATCACTTATTCCCACCCCGTTTTTCTAGCACTCAACAGCAAAAAGAATCGTCAATTACTAAAAACAAACAAAAATCAGACCTTCTAGATGTTGTCACTAACGAAGATGCCCTCCTCGAGCTCGAATTCCAGCATTCAACCACTGGAGTTCATCCCAAAGATGCTTTATAAGTTATGATTCATGAAGCAGAAGGTTGCAGAATGGGTCTGAATTATTAAAAAAAATCCATACTTTCCTAAAACACTTGCAATTTTTCCTTGAACGATTTTAACGTGAATCAAAAACCATTGTGTAAAAAGGGATCACACTTCAATCTAAAACATGTTGATGCTAAGTTTAATCACTCACCTTTGCCTGCGTGTGTTAAGAATTTAATGGTAAAAGAGTCAATTTTGTTTTTCCCTGTATAATGATCAAGCCATCAGCCTTTTATGAGGATCAAAGTACAGGCTAACACTTCGACCCATAAATATACGATTTGGTCGAAATTTCACCAAAATTGGAAAATAATTTCAAAATTTACAGTGCGACCAATTTGTGTTCTTGCTGGCCGATTTTTTTTGTCGGTGAGTGTACAACTAGCTGCAGAGTTTTCTTTGTTGAAGTATTCATATTATAATTTTGTTGTTACAAGGAATTTCCACATTATTCTTCATGTTTTTGTAGTATACAACTTATTGATAGTATTAGAAGCGAATATGGAGAATCAGTTCACAATAAAAACAAAAGGTCAGCAAAACCAACATACAAAAATATTTCTCCACCCATACACCATGAAATCAGGTTTGATTTTTGATCGACTAATGTACAGGGTGGCTGGAATTCGAGCATCATGATTGAGATCTCGTAAACCGTTTTGCAATGTGAAAAATTCAGATTACTTCCAAAGATATTTGGAAATAAAATCCGAATATTCGCGATATCATTTTCATTTTTTCACGACTCTATTCATATAGATGTAACAAATCACACATTCTCATTGCTACTTTTTTTGTTCTACGAGATGATGTTATCAGATTTTGAGCTGACATCATCAACTTCGTTTTTTTTTAATACGGCCCTCGATTTTTTATTATGGATTTCAAGAGCTTTTGATCTGATACCAACGGGTGTATCCTACTTATTCGAAAAATTCATATCAATGCTATTTTTCATAAGAACCCAGATCTTAGAAAGAAACAGAGTAGATTTTCAATAGGATTAAAAGCAAGCACCTTTTCGATTAAGTGCGATACACCGTTGATTTTAGGAGATTGAGAGCTTTCAAAATCTAGAGCCGCATTTAATAAAAACAATGTTGATGATGGCAGCTCAAAGACGAAACGCTGGTTCGAAAATCTGATAACACCATCTAGTAGAACAGAAAAAGTAACATTGAGAATGTGTGATTTGTTTTGTTTCATCTATTCAAATAAAGTAATAAAAAAATGAAAATGAAACTGCCAATATTCGTTTTTTCTTCAAAATCTTTAGAAGAATTGGGAATTTTTCAAATTTCAAAACGGCATTTCGTTAGGCATGAAATTCCGCAACATTGCGGTAATTTAGCCGATCCTGTATCTCGTACGGTTTACGAGATTCCAATGATGAGGCTCGAATCTATCCACCCTGTACAACCCCAGTAATGTATCCTCATCCATCATTCCATAATCACATACAGCGTTAGTTATTGGAATCATTAGACATCCAAACATTCACATAATATTAAGATATATTTTGGAAAGATTGGTGAACTCACCTTAAGAAGAGCAATCTCAATTATTAGAATATCATGGTCAATTCTCACTTCTGTTGCATATTTTCAAAGTTGACTAGTGTTCTTTCTCAGTTAAGACCGACGATTCACGACAATCGCTATGCAGACCTATTTTCCAGCCCCATTTTCTGCCAAACGAAAAGTCCAAATGAAAAACGGTTTGGATGATCGTAAGGACGAAAGCTCAAGCTAGGAGTTAAAGTAATTTTCGAAATCAAACTCGTTTGTTGAAGAAAGCAGGCGATGACTGAAAAATGTAAACATTGGGAAATTTTGTGTCACAGATTTTAATGAAAATTGGTTTAACTCCTAGATACACTAAAATGCCATACCCTGCCCAAATTCTGGCTTCCAAAATCACACCGTTCCAAAGAAAACGGGAAAAAATCCAAAATTAACAATATGGCGTCGATAATTGGTGGCGACCTACATAAATCGTGTCTGAATTCAGGCCTATTCAGGGGTACATTAGTTCAGCTTCTGTCTTATAGATGGCGTTGCAAAATTTTGATTCTAATTATCATTATTAG